TCATGGTCGGTATTGATTTCTAAATCCAGGAAAGTCAAGGCTTCAAGAGCTTCTGAGCCTTTCAAGTATAAGCTAACACCCTACTTGGACTCCTCCGACAGAGTGCATGAAAGAGGGCCGGCGGATCGACTTTTGTGTATCCCTTATGGTAGACATCAGAGGTTGAACAGGCATGGAAGTTAAAGATAGCTGCAGTAAAGCATTTAATGAAAAGGCGACAGACAGTCCTAAGCTCACAGGAGGAGTTGGAGTGCTCGGAAAGAGATAAGAAAGATAAGATAAGAGTTTTTCAAGCGCTGTGCGGTAGAGGCCAAAAAAGCAAAATGGGAGCATTTTATTGGTGAGATTGGGAGCAATAAGACATTGGGAAAGTTTTGGAGGCTACATGGGCAGTTGCTTACGAAAGATCGGCCCAGCGTAGTAGGAGCAATTCATAGAGATGACGGTATGCTATCAACTACAGACAAAAAGAAGGGGGGTGCTTTACTGAGGAGGTTCATTTCACAGACAGACCACAGTGATGGAGATAACAGAAATAAAGAAGATTTGGCAGCCATCCTAAATAACAAACATCATAAAGACATCATACAGGTGGAAGATGTAAACGTGTACTAAAAGGGGTGAAAGACAGTGCAAACGGGCCCGACGGGGTAAATATGTCCACATGAAAGACATGAGTGATGCAGATCTGTTGGAGATGACTGCTTGCTTCAACCAGAGCATTAGGACAGCTTCAGTCCCAGAAAAATATACGCACAGCTACCTGCTTCCACTTCCTAAGCCTGGCAAGAATCATTTAACACTAGGGGATTTTGGAATCATAACCCTGCAAAACACCTTTGGTAAAGTGCTGGAGAAGATAGTGGCGGGTAAGCTACAAGAATTTTTGGAAGAGAGAAATCTCCTTCCACGAGGATTGGGAAGTAACCGGGCTGGGAAGGACACATGGTCAAATGCAGCCACTTTTGCCTTTGATATCTTCGAGGTTTCCAAAACAGACTTAAAACGGTGGCAGCAGGCAGACGATTTAGAAGACGCTTAAAACAAAGTCAGATACAGTATCTTGATGAAAGCGGTAATGTTAAAGAGAGTACGTCCTTGGTTGTTTCATTGGATAGCAGCCGTTTGGTATACTCGCCGTGTAGCTCTCCGCCTGGGTTCTTGGACTTCTGAACCATGTATTATAGCTCCAGGACTGCCACAAGGATCTGCAATTTCACCTGCAATTTTCGATGTTTTTACGAGCACGATTGCCTGCCTGGAACCACCTGGATTTGGCAGAATATTGACCTATGCAGATGCTGTTCTTGTATATAGGGAGGGGAGAGATCGGAATCAAATAGCTGAAGAGTTAGTTACAGGCAACAGTAGATAAGGTGATTGACTGGTGTTCAGAGATGAGTGCTGAAATCAGCCGAGCAAAAGCAACCATCCTGAGGTGTTCTTTGGACAAGTGAATTGTTAGAGCTAATGTTCCCAGACTCAAAATAAATGGCAGGGGCATCAGAGGAGACAGCAGACTGCGGTACCTGGATATTACCTTTGACAGAAGTTTGTCTTTCAAGGATAACAAAGAGGGAGTTGTGACAAGGGCTCAAAAAGATCTAAATGCACCACAGATTACCGCAGCGATGGACATGGAGCAGAGAATGTTGATTACACTTTACCAGCACTTAATCCCCTCAGTGATTGATTATGGATTGGGGTTACTCACTGTTTCGAAGAGTCAGCCAGAGAAACTGGAGCTCATACAGTATGAAGCAATGCGGCTGATCCTGGGTTGTAAAAGAGACACCCCGATTGTGTGCATGCGATACATCTTTGCTTTGCCGACTATTGCAGATAGGCTGAAGGTGCTGCAGGCTAAGTCATACTTCGAAGTAGCTGCAGACAAGGAACACCCTCTGTTTGAAGCTTTGGCTGCAGGCAAGGGTCAGAGATGAAAATGGGAAAATTGTGGATGGCTCAAGCAGAAGACACAATAAGATAAGAATGCATGCTAAAGAACATTTGGCGACAAGAGGAGTGGGTCAGAGTGCCAGCGGAACAGTCTGACCTTTGTAGGCTTATGATAACATTGGGCCAGGTGTGCAGAGAGTGGCCAGCGGGTAATGCTGAGGTTAAAGTCCAACAGTTGATTCACGACAATTCACGCCCACTTGATCTGATTGTCTGTACATATGGTTTAGTGTTTAGAGGAAAGAGAAGTGCCTGGGTGTTCGTAGCGAAAGCTGATGAAATTTTTTTAGTTCAAGACAGGCAACATATGATACCACAGTATTTAGTACATGAATGGAGGTGGAAGCGCTAACTGCAGCTCTCCGGTGGCTTGAGAACAAGATGCATACACATGTCGTAATTATAACAGACTCAGAAATATGCTGAAAAGGGTGACGACTGGGGTGCTTCAAGCAGTGTGGTAAGCTTCACTGGAAAGGTCACGGGTAGTGTGCATACTTTGGGTCTTTTATTCAGACCATTCTAGCGTGGTGGTTAAAGAACAGGCAGACAGATTAACTGGATCCGTACCACTGGGTGGTGAATTTATACATGACAAGGCATACATGGTCAATGCCCTTTGGGAACAAGCAACGAAATCGGTAGGAAAAAAAGATTATTATGGTCATGAGGGAATGAGGCATCTTGATGTAACCAGAGGGTCTGGCCGGCTCACTACCCTCAGAGGAAAGGCAAGACTGACATAGAGCCAGTTTTGGACCGGTACCATCAGTATTGGAACTCTGCGCTGGCTGCCGAAGATGAGGACTGGGCATGCATGGAAATGGCCAGAGTGATGTGATGTTAATTCTTGGCTAAACAAAACGTAACTCTTTCAGTTTTCGATATTAACCAAAGAAACTAGAGAAAACTAACCACCTGTAAAAGGTGATGCAACAGAAAGCCTGCGAACATAGCCAAAAGAGATCCTGTGAGAAATTAAATGATTACAAGAACGAGTGGAACAATCATCCACAGTCTACAGGTTCTCTAAAGAACGTCGCTCCCGTCACTGCATGCTGGAAAGTCCTTCTTTCTCTAGCCATTTTCCCTGCCCTATTTACTTTGATATCCAGCGAATCTGTTATGTAATACATTCAGGGATTTCTGCCCATTTCACCGAAACTATATTCAGCACCGTCTTTTCAAAACTACCAGTTAGAGACGATGAACCACCTGATGAAAATGTGTATTAATATTAAACGTTGACAAGCGTTCAGAACTTCGTTGCGGGAGGGGGTAGGGAGCACACACGCTAATAAATAACTACTGGATACGAGTCGTGAGTGGATACCAGGTATAGTCCTGGAAGTACAGGCGGAAGGCGTGAAGTGACCACATCACCCAGCTAGTGCCGAGTGGTCTATATAATATAAGTCTAGCCCTATATGGCAGTACGTCTGTCTATATAATATAAGTATAGCCCTGTATGCCAGTACGTCTGTCTATATAATATAAGTCTAGCCCTATATGGCAGTACGTCTGTCTATATAATATAAGTCTAGCCCTATATGGCAGTACGTCTGTCTATATAATATAATTCTAGCCCTATATGGCAGTACGTCTGTCTATATAATATAAGTCTAGCCCTATATGGCAGTACGTCTATTCATATAATATAAGTCTAGCCCTGTATGGCAGTACGTCTATTCATATAATATAAGTCTAGCCCTTTATGGCAGTACGTCTATTCATATAATATAAGTCTAGCTGTTGCGCGCTAATTTGGGTAAAGTGTGATATTGTGGGAAGGGACAATGATATGCCTATATTTCCTGTAAGTTCACGGGGGAAGAGTGTCAACAGGCTGAGTATTAAGAGGAGACCAGTGAAAATGTCTATTCATGAACAAGGCGTAATCTGGTAACATCAGCCACCCACATAAGCGTGATCCTCGGGAAGCTCACATGAGCGAGTCCCGAGAACACCCACAGGATCATGATTCACGAGAACGCCCACACAAGCGTGCCTCTCGTGTAATCACCATCCACCTACACGGATTCGACATATATAAATTGGGCTGCGTAGACAGTCCAGGGAGTGAGCTGTAGCCTGAGGGCTAAAGCCCCTCGGGGGCAGTAGACAGAGAGAGAGATGTAGCCACAGGGCTAAGGGCATTGATGAAGTGTTGGTGTATCACACGCAGCACGAGGGATCAGCCGAGAGAAGCGAGAGTCATAGACCAAGTCAGGGTCCAGGTAATCTCGCGAGTCTAACAGACAAACATACCGTACGACTAGCGGGCATTTAGGTCCGAGTAAGTGTCGGAATTGCGGTATGGAAAATATGGTCCCGCTGGCAAAGTAAGTCCAGGGGACGGGAAGACCAGTAGTGCCTGGTTTCGGAGTACGGCAAGAGAAGTCCGTCTCCAGTCAGCCGTGTTGTATGCTGAATTAATATCAAGGTCCAGTGAATGGGAGAAGTCGCCCTGTTCAGCTGTACGACGCGTCCAGAGAGTGGGACGCCGTCATCCTGGTAGCTGCAGTAGTCCAGGAGAGGTCACTACACATTGAGAGATAGAGAGCTGTGAGGACAAATAACGATGTGCGAATGTCAGCTGTGATCAATAACTACGTCTCTGCATTTGTGTCATGTATCCTGTTAAATAAACTTGTATGACAGTGTCATCGTCGTCGAGTTGTCTTGTTAAGAAAGGAAGCTGAAGAGTACCTGCTAGACACTTGGTAGTGTGCGATCAGAGGCAACTCCATTTAGCACACAACACTAGCCCTATATGGCAGTACGTCTAAAAGCGTGGGAAAAAATAAAAACATCGCTACATTACAGAGTAGACTCAGCTACTGTTTTATCATCGGTTAAACTTTGAGACCTAGCGACCCAAAGCAGACGCTGACAAAAGACATAACAAAAACAAAAAACACAATTATTTCTAAAAGTTTCAGATATGTAAGATAGACTTCTAGATTTACATCATTTAATCATGATAATATCTGAAGAAACAGAGTAGAAGTAAAATCTTTAAATATATATTAGATCGTTACCTTTTCGTCTGACTCCTCATAAATCGGCGTTCTGAGAAACCTGTGTTTCACATACTGGGTCTGTAGAAACTGACTCCGAACATCCATATGTCCATAGGCAACCAGGAGCACAGACAACATAAAAATGGTGTAAAAGAACAGGTCTCTTAGCATCTGAAAATAAAATTGTGATCATGATCTTCTGAACATAATTCAACAAATACAAATAATCAGAAGGCAGAAGTAGAAAGTTTACTGGTATAGATTTTTGCGAAAGCACAGAAAAAACGTATGAGGACAGAAAGCAAATGACTGTATGTGCCATACTGCTTAGAAAACATTTAGCAGATGTGGGCATACGTTTTAGGCACTGCTGGCCACATTAGGAATTACAAACATTGTCGCGAGCCCTATAGCACAAATCCATTAACATAACACCCATATTTGACTAGGCACACCCATACACTAAAACATTTTCAAGTATGTATTCAAGCTAATTATTTGCAAAGAACGTATTTAATATTCGTCTCTCTTCCCCCCCCCCCCCCCTTTCTCCCTGTCTTTCTTTTTCACTAACATAATAACTCAACGAACAGCATTATGTGAACATTTATTGTATCGAAAAATACGCCAAGAGAAACATCGGGGTAAAGTCAACCTTAACAAGTCTCTTAGTGAATTACAAAAGACAGTAAGGTTCATACTAGAGACAACACCGCAGATACAGACACAAGTCTGCATGCGGACGAACACTGGGCGAGGAGAGGAGTGGGTCAGAGTAAGTAAAGTAAAATAAAGTTCCCTTTTCACGCCTTTCGGCGCATCGGGCATATGGGCGGAGCGTCCCATATTTTTACAGACCATCAGCACTCTGTGGGTAATGTGGTCAACATTACGCCGGCTGTCTTTACTTTCCCAGGACAGCCCATCCTAGTATACATTTTAGGCTGGGTCGACCTGCGACGTCCCATACCACGACAAAAATCCACGCAGCCTGCAGTGGGTTTCGATCGCGGTATGCTGGCTTACGAATCGGACTCGCAACGCCTTAGCCACGGACGCCGCGTGGGTCAGAGTACCAGAGGCAAAGTCTGACCTGTGTAGTATCATGATCACATTAGGATGGGAGTGCAGAGAGTGGCAAGCGGGAGCTTCTGAAGTGGAAGTTCAACAGTTGATTCATGACAATTCTCGTATTGATGATCTGATTATCTACACAAATGGTTCTGTTTTGAGAGGGAAGAGAAGTGCCTGGGTTTTCATAGCAAAGGCCAGTGATGAATCTTTACTGTAGTAACAGCCTGGCACATCATACCACATCTAACATGAGAAAAAAGGTGGAGGCGTTTACTGCAGCTTGCCGGTGGATAGAGAACAAGATACATACACATGTCGTAAATGTAACGGACTCTGAATGCATGTTGAAAAAAGGTGCAGACGGGATTGCTACGAGCAGAGTGGCAAGCTTCACTTGCAACGTAATGGATAGGGAGTATACTTTAAATCTTTTTCTCCATGCTATCCCGGCGTGGTGGTGAAGGAGCATGCAGACAGACTGGCTGGATCTGCACCGCTAGGGGATTAATTGAAACATGACATGACAGATGTGTTCAGAGCCCTTTGGGAACATGTAATGAAGTCAGAAGAGAAACGAGATTATTATTAGCTGTAAAGAATAATGCGCCTGGACGTGACCAAGACGTTCGTCTGGCACTCTACGCTCAGTGGAAAGGCAAGACGGACATAGAACTAGACTAAGACTGCCACTATCAGTATTGGAACTCTGCGCTGGCTGATGAGAATTGGGACTGAGCCCGCATGGGAATGTCCCGAGCGCTGCGAAGTCAGTTCTTGATTCAACTCAACTCAACTCAAACCAAAGAAGAGGAGATGAAAGATAACACCACGATAACAAATACTCTTACTTCTCTGGCTGTGTTTTCCAGGGCTAGTCGCTCCAGAACATTCTTCGCCTCACTTGTATTGATTGGGACTCTACAAGTTACTTTAGGCAACATTGTCCTAAACTTCCTGTTGTATTTCTTTCTTTCCTGTACCAGTCGTATCCCATCCTCTGTGAGTACAATTCGTACATGATTAAAGTAATTGAACTACATTATCCTCGGTTCGTAATATCTGTGTAAGTACCTGCTACCACTAATATACTTGATATGTCGTGGTTTTAAGTTGCGTATTTAGCTTATAGAATGAACTGGCAGCATGCAAACTGTCTTGCATTGTTTTCGACTATGGTACCGAGAGCTGACTGTTGAGAGCAATGGCAAACTACTGAACGTAAGATATGCATAGAAAAAACCACTACAGCTGGAAAAAAATGCTGTGGTTGGTTCTACAAAGTCCTGTAAAGGATACGAACTAATTTTATTTTGCTTGTTTATAATTTACAATCTCGTTTGCATTCTGTGATGAATTCAAATAAGGAGAACATGTTGAGAAAAAGAAAAAAAATCTCTTTCTACTAGCATAATGAACTGGATATATGGAGGGAGAGCCATATCGGCGTTTTGCGTGTGTCGGTTGATAGGATTCATATGTCCTTGCTTGATGATGAGTTGATTACCTAATGCAGTATTGCATTTTACGTGACTCTGTGAAATACGGAAGGTGTGTATATACACGCACACACACACACACACACACATATATATATATATATATATATATATATATATATATATATATATGTAGTTAGATATGCGTCCGCGTTTTTTGAGCACATAATCCTTTTTTTTTTCATAACTATTTGTTTAATGTCTTACTCTGCAATGCCTACAGAAGTAAAATAATTGCTCATGCAGCAGGAACCACTCATCTCCTATATACATCTCTGGGTCTTTTGCTTGCGCCATCCAAAACTCTATCTTATCAGAATGTAGCCACTAGCAGTACCATTTCATACAAATGCAAAAAATGCATCATACAAATGCAAATTTATGTTACTGTATTTGAAAAACTGTCTGAACTAAACATAATATGTGTAGAAAGTGACGTGTTCTGCAGCGTATCTTTTGGCCACATTATGAATGATTTTACTTGTAGGATATCAAGAAAATTGTTGTATTTTGTAATTTTGTGCCTTTTAGATAACTGTATTAAATACACGTGATACTGAAAACACATTCTTTATTATTTCTTCATATTACAATTCAAGTAAAGTGTATTTCCATTATAATTATATTTAAAAGAAGAATACATTTTTTAAAACTATTTTATTTAAACATGTAGAGGCCTCATGAACTTGTATAGCGCAGGATCTTTTGAAGGCTAAGTCCGGCACTGGGGTATAGTTTGTGCATTCTAGAGTCACCTGCATGGTTTCATTCTGTATGAGCGGGGCCGCGATAGCGCAGTCGATAAGAGGCTCGCTTTCAAATCAAGCTGCGACTCGCTGCAGCACACGGTCGGTGTTCGAAACCGGGCAGCTCTCACCCAGCCACTAGGTATGGGTACCAGTGTGACACTCTGGGGTTGTTGTTGTTATCGATCCAGCGGCGCATGTGGAATTTGCATGTTTTCACAAGCTGCTTTTTCCTCCGTACAAGGTGTTCCACTTGTCTGGTCTCGGAGGGAGCAGCATTCTTCTAGTCTCGCTGAGTTTTGGGCACTCAAAGAAATGGTGTACAACAGTTTCGTAGGAGTAGTTACATAGCTGGCACTCTGGGGAGTGTTGTGGCTGTATTCTGTTTAGATGTCCATTGAGTGGAGTATGTTGCGTTCTAAGTCTGAAGATGGTGGCCTGGTCCCTTCTTTTTAGATGATTAATGCTGTCATTAGGATCAGGGCCAGCCATGTGTCTATAAACCTCACTTCCAGTGTCTCTCATGGCCCATCTGTTCAACCAAGTCTCTTTGTTTATAGCTCTTTTAAGTGTTTTTGCTGTTTGTATGGTTGTCACTGTAGGTTGTTGTTCTTGTATTGCTCCTTTCTTTGCCAATCTGTCAACTCTGTCATTACCTGGTGTGCCGGAGTGGCCTGGAATCCACTGCATCACTATCCTGATGTTGTATGAGTTAATAAGCTGATCAGCATCCAGGATTATCTTGGCTATATCAGTTCTGCCGCGTTCACTGCCCTCCAGAGCTTGAAGGGCAGACATCGAATCTGTGAAGATGACAATATTTTGGGCCTTTGAAGGGTAAAAATTCATTACAGTCTTTAGGTGGTATACATATGTTTCCACTGCAATTGTTTCGGCTTCATAATTTGAACAAAATTCTCCGCATGCATCAAAAATCTCTTCACCAGATCCATCGGAATAACCTATGTAGATTCCGTAACCTGCTTTAATGGTAGCTTTAAATGCAGATCCATCATTATAAACATGTATCCATTATTGGGGGTAAGAATCAACGGTCTTTACTGATCAGTTCATAAGAGCGACTGGGTCGGACTGTTTGGTTTCCTCGCCTACCAATTTAATTCGGACTTCTGGAGCTTTAAAGCGAGCATGTGGTGGTAGGTTTCTTGCAACATTCTGAATTCCTTGACGTCTTTCTGGGAGGTGGTATCTGTCCTGAATTTCATTAACACAGTGTAAAACCGATTTGTGCTTTATTCTTTGTTTGAATTCCCAGTTTTCTACAAGGTGTCTATTAGGATGGTTACGATTCTTTCTAACGCATCTTTCATAAATTTCTAAAGTGGCTTTTTCTCACCGCAACCTGAGGGGTTCCAAATTTGTGTGGATTTCACATGCAGTAGTTGGTATAGACTGCATAGCTCCGCAAATTAATCGGAGGGCATTATTTTGTACTCTGTCAAGAGTCTCTAGGTTAGTTTTGGAGCAGGTTGTAAGCAGTGAGTTTTTGTACTCTATCATAGAGTGAACATATCCTAGATATAAGCCCCTCAGTTTCCTTGTCTGATCCCCATGATGTACCTGCAAGTCTCTTTAATAAATGTACCCGCCTCAATGCCTTATTCCTTACGTTTTCAATATGATTCTTGAGGCTGAGCTGCCGGTCAAGTATGACTCCAAAGTATGTAGGATGCTCTTCTTTCATCACTTGGTGTTTGTCTAACCTCAGGCTAATATTCTTCCTTGCTACATGATGGCTTTTGGTAAAGTTTGTGTAGACCGTCTTTGCACAGTTAACCTTGAGTTTCCATCTTTGGCAGTACTCATGCAGTCTTCTAAGGTCTCCATTCAGTCT